TAGAGCAAAATTAACCACCAAGCAGGTGTGATAACATCAGTCTCCACTTGGCCCACAGCAACAGTACTAATACCACCAATTTTATAGACATCTGGGAGAGATAGGCAGGTGCAAAGGCTTGTCAGTTGGACAGATTGATGGTGGGATACATTCCAAAGCCACTTGAAATGTGGTTGCACAGTCATTGCTAGCTTTAATTTTTTTTTTTTTACATGCATATACTGCATGTTTTTTTGTTTGGGGGTGTTGGTAGCCTGGAACTAGAGTTACAGACAGTTGTGAGCTGCCATGTGGGTGCTGGGAATTGAACCTGGGTCACCTGGAAGAACAGCCAGTACTCTTGACCGCTGAGCCATCTCTCCAGTCCTCGCCATTGCTATCTTTATGAGTGACATTGCATCCTTGACCCAAGGCATATTAGCACTTGGTACCAGCATGTTGTCAGCATTTTAAAGAGAAATTAACACAGATGCTGCCATGCCAGGTTCATAGCCAGTTTTCTTTAAAAGTTATTTTCATTATTTTATGTGTATAGGTGTTTTGACTAGGTTCTCTAGTGTTCAGTCTTAGCTCCTTATGGCCTCTGAATTTGTAGATTTTTGTCTCTTGCTCAAATCCCAGAATTCTTAGATGCAGTGGTCCTGCTGGGTTTTCCCTTATTGATATTTGAACATGATAATTCCTTGACTTCTCCATCCTGATTATTGTTTCAATATGATTGGTTCAGTCTATCAGTAAAGCTTTCTACTTTGCTTTTTATTAGATTCATTGTGGTTTCCCCCCAGAAGATTTATTTATTTATTTATTTATTTATTTATTTATTTATATGGATGATCTGTCTGCATGTACACTTGAATGCCTATAGAGGGTATCGGATCCCATTATAGGCAGTTGTGAGCCACAATGTGGGTACTGGGAATTGAACTAAGGACTCTGGAAGAACAGCCAGTGCCCTTAACCACTGAGCCATTTCTCCAGCTCCTGAGTATTGGGGGGGGGGTTCATTTTAAACATTTCTGGGGTTTTTATGCTTGTTTGGGTGGTTTGTTTTTTGCTTTTATCTCAGTTTCCTTGCTGAAGTTTTGTATTGCTAATTTTCTCATCTGATTTGCTGGCCTTTCCCTCTGTGTTGCCAACTTTCCTTTCTAGATATTGGATTGAATTTGTCTGTTTGTTTATGTCCTCTTTCTGAATACCATAGATTTACCACAAATGGAAAATTCCACATTTGGCCCCATGTGGAATTCTTGATTTTCAGGAAGATTTCATAATTGTCTTCATATGGATTTTACTAATTTTGTTCATAGTTTATAGTTTTGATCATGATAGTAAAGAGTTTTTCTATTCTTCTTATTGCTATAGTGAGAAAAGCTAATAGTTTTGAATATTTATGTATCGTCCAGTCATGGCACCAAAGACCCTTAATAATTCTCTTATTTTAGGAACACCAATACTTTTTGTTCTATTCATCTATGAGACTGGAATCTTCAGTGTTTACCAGATCATCAGCAGAGAACGTTTTTAATATTTTTCTTTCAACATTCAATATGCTAATTCTCAATGATTTCTCTAGATAGTCATAGAAAAATGTTGGACAAATGACATAGGATTAACAAAAGGAGTGCCAGAACTTTTAAAAAGCAAATATAACCCCAGGAACATTAGTTACTCTACCTTTTGTATGTTGTTGCCATTATTTTAATTAATCTTATGTTGCACTGGCTAGTTAGCCAGGTAGCCAGTTTGATAATTGCTTTGTATATATTAACTAGTAAAAATTAATGACCAATGGATATATTTGGCTTTATGCAAAGCCCATTAAAAACTTGATTTAACATAAAAACTTGATTTCACATAAAAATTTGATTTAACATAAAACTTGACTTAGTATAAAAACTTGAATTAATATAAAACATCAATCAGAGAGTGATTATTTGTTATATCGAGGAAATTGTTAGCTGTTCGATTCCAATGAAAATGATTGCCTTTAAAATGAAAATGTCTATGGTGTTATTAAAATACTTCATTTTAAACAATTTAGTTCATGAAGAACTCTTAAAGTCTTTCATATTGATTAAATGAAATTATCCTATCTTTAAAAGGTAATCAGTAATAAACAATTTTCTTAGAACTATTTGTGGAGGGAGCTATCTGGCTCAGGTAGGAGCACTTGCCTTGAAAACATGAGAACCTGAGACTGAACCCACACAAATGCCAAGCATGAGGCTGGGGATGGCTTAGCATTGAAACCAGGTTGCTCTTGCAGAAGATCTGGGTTTGCTTCTCAGCATCCGCATGCATCAGCAACTTCTGTTCCACAGGGTCTGATACCGTCTTCTTGCCTCCGTGGGCACCAGATACGCACATGAAGCACATATATACATGCAGGCAACTGCACATACACATAAAAATTTTAAATCTTTTTTTTGGGAGGGGTTGTAATGCCAAGCATGATGGTATACACTTGTAATCTCAATGTTGGGGCACAGAAGGATCCCTTCAAACTTACTAGCCAACTAAAGTAGCATAATTCTTGAACTTCAGGCCAAAGAGAATCTTAAAGGAGATTAACAACATTCCCAAGGATGGAGACCTGAAGTCATCTCTGGATTCTACACAGTCAAGCACACATGAGTATGTGTACCCACATATAATTTATTAAAATATTTTAGGAAAACCATGAAATATGAAGCCAGGAGCTAGAGTTGCCAACGTTAAGTCTTTGCTGCTTCTTAGCTTTCGGATAACTCATTGAACAAGAAGTAATGTATGAGAAAGCACCTGGAGTATAAAGAACAACATTAGCATACAGTGATGTCACTTACATAGGTATTTCTGCTCTCATCTTTTTACTGATTTTGTTGAGGTGACATTTAGATTAGAAAAAGGGAATGTGATCATGTGAAGAAAAATGCTATAGAATGGAGGTAATCAATACCAGCATTTTCTAACCAGGAGTTGCCCTTTCCTTTAGTATTAACTGTTTTTCCATTGACATGCATTCATTGTACATAAGGCAGGTTTCATAAGAACATTTATTTTATTTTTGGTTTTTCAAGAAAAGGTTTCTCTGTGTAACACATCTGGCTATCTTGAAACTTGCTTTGTATACCTGGCTGGCCTCGAACTCCCAGAGGGCTGCCTGCCTCTGCTTTCCAAGAGCTGGGTTTACAGGTGTGTACCAACACCACTTGGCTTTCATAAGAACATTTTTATAGCACTCTATAATATATTTTGGCCATGCCCTCTCATACCTCTTGTGGTAGTTTTGTCAATTTGACACAATCTAGAATTATCTGATGAGGGAATCTCAATGAGGGATTATTTAGATTAGCTTGGCCTAGGATTATGGATGGCTTTGGGTATCACTGGGAAGGCCCACCTACTATGGTGACACCAGTCTCTGGAGAGGGCATCCTGGATTGTGTAAGAATGGAGAAGGGAAGCTGAGCAGCAGCTTCATGCATTAGTTCTTTGGTCCCTACTTTGACTGTGTGTGTCATGTGACTAATGCTCTGAGTCCCTGCCACCTTGACCTCCCCACAAGGGCTGACTGTAACCTGTCATTGTGATCTAGATAAACCCTTTCTTCCTTAACTTGCTTGTTTTCACAGCAACAGGAAATGAAACTAAGACACCCCCTGTCCTCCCCTTTGTTACCCTTTCTCCTCCTGTTAGTCCCTGTTCTGTGCAGGATTGCATTTTAAATAGAAAGTATCATATGGAGTCTGACTTATTAGTGATAGGAAAGCTAAGTGGGAATATTGTGAGTTGTGTGGGAAGGGGTGGACTGCATGCATGGGTGATGTTGATTGGACCTTACTTGCAATATTCCATAGATTTTTTTAACATAGCTAATTTTTGCATTCTCTGTGAGCTTTGCTTTAATATAAATACAAGCTTAATCCCAGGTGTTGGGGTGAGGCTCTCTGCTGCTTCTGAGTAACTGCTTAGGAATACTGGCAGTTGTAGTTTGTTGCTTGTTTTGTTTTGTTTTTCTCCATTTATTTAGTTCATAAATAAAGTCATGCACAATTATGATACACAATACAGTATGTTCACAATGGCATGGCTAAATTAAACTAATTATCATGTTATATCACACATATTCATCATTTTTGTTTTGAGAACACTTAAAGTATACTATCTCATAACTTTTAAAATAGCATATTGTTATCAACCATATTTATCATGCTCTCAGTAGACCTCAAGACTTCACAGAGTCCATGCCTCTTGCCCAACTGCAGTTTTATATCCTTAAACCAATCGTTTCCCCATTGTTAAAAGACCCACATTGAAACCTAATAGCCACAATTCTGACCTCTGTTCCCATAAGTTCATCATTTCTAGGTTACACATAAAATTGAAATTGTGTGACATTTGTCTTCCAGTGTGTCACTTATTTTTTGTTTTGTTTTGTTTTTGGCAAGCATATAACTTTACTACTTACTAAAGATGAAATCAAATTTGCATGCACAGGTGAGCACTCACTGAAACACCTTGGATTCATCGCATATTTGAATTTCAATTAGCATATATATATATATATATATAGAGAGAGAGAGAGAGAGAGAGAGAGCATATATATATATATATATATATATATATATATTTTTTTTTTTTTTAAATTAGCTTCTCAGTCATCATCTGGGAGGAAACCATTTTGAGCAACATCATTAAAAACAGCTCTGATCAGGCATGGTCACTACTATGTATCATAAAGCAGGTCCACATATGAGTGAGTACATATCATGCTTGTCTTTTTGTGATTGGATTACCTCGCTCAAAATGGTTTCTTTGAGTTCCATCCATTTTCCTGCAAATTTCAAGAGTCCATTGTTTTTTTCTGCTGAGTAGTACTCCATTGTGTAAATGTACCACATTTCTCTATCCATTCTTCGGTTGAGGGGCATCTAGGCTGCTTCCAGTTTCTGGCTATTGCTTGTTGTTTTTCTAAGCTAACTCTGACAATTTAACTTTGGTTTACATGTTTGCCATAGGTGATATTTGTGAAGATTCACGTGCCAGTCATGGTCCAATGAGTCTAAGGGAGTTGGAGTTACAGCCCTGTCCTAATCTTGTCTTTCCCATAACACACATGGCAACAAAAGGCAATGGTGCTAATTTACCAGGAGCAGCTGAAGGCTTTTCTCAGGTAACAAAACAAGAACATTTGTGCTTTACTTAGAATGAGAATTGTGACTCTGTGAGGTTAAGGAGCCTGGTCTACATAGCAAGTTCAAGGACAGCCAGTGCTATGTAGACAGACCTTGTCTCAAAACAAACATAAGAAAACCAGACCGAGTTCAATCCCTAGAACATTTTTAGGGGGATGGGAATGGCCGAGCTCCCTATGGTCCCAGGGTCTTACTATGTAGTCTTGGCTGACCTGAAGCTCCCTATAGAGACCAGGCTGGCCAAAAACCTCCTGCCTTTGCTTACTGATTGCTGTGATTAAAGGTATACCTCCGTATGGCCAGCATTTTCTAGAATATTCTAAAGGAGGAGGGAGAAAACCAACTCCACAAGTTGTCCTTTGATGTGTACATGAACACTGTGGCAGACACAGTCCCCTGCCCACACAAAATAAACAGATTCAAAAATAAAAACTATATAAAATATCTGACACCTAACTAAGTTGCTATTATTACTTATATCTCTATGACTGTATAAAACCCAGCTCAGTAATTTGTACCTATTAAGTATTTGATGTTTATAGCTTTCAAATATAAAATATGTTCCATGAAAGCATAACATTCTTATAATGAGTGAAGCCAATGGCCCATGAAAACTTGTATATTAAAAAATTATGATAATTGTTCTTAAAGATCTTAATCTAAATAAATGCTCGTGGTAATAAATACAGTTTTGTATTCATGATTAGCAATTCATTCCTCATTGTGAATTAATATATTCAATCAGTATTCATTACATGGTATTTTATAACATTGGATGGTATCAGGGAAGAAAATTAAAAATATATAATAAAGATTGCTTATGGAATACAACATTATGTAGGGTTTGTTATTGCTAATCTGTTCAAGCAAGGATCAGGAAAAACTAATAAATATGCTAATAGTGCCTGTATCAAAGGAAATGTTTTTTAACTAAGAGGCAAGAACTTCCTGGATGTGATAGTGAAAGCACTGTTCATGAAAAAAAGAATTTAAAAAATTGGTTTACCAAAAATAAGACTTCTATTCCCCCCCAAATAAGAACCTACACCCCCAAACACAATATTAAGAGAATAAAAAGGCAAGCAGTGGAGTGGGAAAAGATAAATCCAGACCATAAAAATGAACCAAATAATTAAATAGTAAACAGATTAATTTAAAATGAACAAAAGATTTGGGCATATACTTCATCCAGAAAAGATATCTAAGCAGTCAATTAGCATGGTATTAGACATTAGGAAATGCAGATTAAAACACAAGCTACCTCTGTGCTCATTAGAAAGCAAAAGTCGCAGAGGCTGCCATGCATTTGTTGGCAAGGATGCGGAGCAGCTGCTCCAGTACATTGCTGCCTGGGAATATGAGATGATACAGACACATAACTAACACATGACCTGTACATTTGACTTCCCAAGCGAATATAGAACAGAGTGTCCATAGGAACTTTATATTTGTAGTAGCCCCAAATTGGAAATAACACAGTGTTCATCAGATGGTGACTGGACAGTGTGCTTGGTTCTGTACTCTAGAGTGCCACTGCTCCCAGTGCTCTGTGAGTATAGGGAGCACAAGAATTGGATTGTTTTGTTTTGTTTTTTTTTTACAAAAATTACCTTGAGTAAAAGCTAGAGCCTTCTCCCCACAAAAATATATACTCAATGATTCCATTTAATAAAATTCTAGCCAAATACAGGGACAAACACTTGTGATCCTAGCACTCATGAGGCTGAGTCAAAGGTTCACAGGTTTGAGGCCTATGTTGGCCCCACAATGAGACCATGTCTCCAAAGGAATAGGAGAATAAAAACAGAAAGAAAGAAAAGCAAAGCTAGAAGACACAATCTAATCTGTAACAGAAAACATTTCAGTTGTTGGCTTTGAATAGTGGGAGAGGATGGGATGGATACCTCTGTTGAACTCACTGTCAACAGCATTTGCCACTCTGGAACCACACGTGCCATAATCCCCGGCATCTCCATTATCTGAGAAGTGATGCTTCCAGGAGCTGTGGACTTTGTCACACCCTCACTGTGTATTAAGTCAAAGGACAAAGTAGCTCTTTGAAAGCAAGTCAAATTACTAGATGTTTATGTAAAATAACCAATTTAACTCAATACATTTTTAACTTAAAAATAATATTGTGGCTTCATTTCTTAAATTCTTTAGTACCAACAAAAGCACGAACCAGACATTAAACAAGTTGAACACAAGCCAGTACAAAGTCATCTAACCTGTGTACGAAATAAATCTGACAGTTCACTTTCACAACAGCAAGGTAAGCTATTTTTGTAACAAATGGTGATATTTTATTTAAATAAACATATTTATTAAACATTTGATTATATTTATCAGATCAAACTTGATGTCCTGATAATGAACATAAAATATATAATGAAAAAATTTTATATGAACCTCACCTTTGTCTCTAGGTTATTTCATTTGTTTTCTCTCATTTAGTATATTTAGATGGAGAACCTTGAGTTTTGACTAAGACAAATAAAAACCCAGTAAGCTATAAATAAGTCATTTATATATATATATAAAGTGTCACTCCACAATGGATATGTATCTCTGTATAGAGTATTCTTGAATGGACATCATTGCTTTGGCACATAGTCAGAACCTTTTCCCATAAAATGTGTGCATTTGGGTTTTTTTTTTCCTTCACTCTTCTGAAATTCTGAAACATTTCCAAACATTTCAGAGAATAGAAGAGGCAGCATTCCAAAATAATCCCTGGGGCCCTTACGACCTTGTGACCTTGAAGGAATTCAGTCCTATCTCTTGTACACAGAAGTCTTAAAGACAAGGAAATTGCCCCATCGCAAGGGTTTCAGAACCACGTCTTTTCTGGCAGTAAATGGCTCTACTATTACTTGAATTCTAATTATGGCTATTTTACAGTGGAGTTACCATGTATTTTACTTTGAAATGCATAGTAGCTTAGTGTTCAAATATAAAGAAATCAAGCAAATTACTAGAAATAACATCACCTTCAGTGAGCTGGCTCCCAATGAAAATTGATGCAAAACATGGTGGGACAGATGCCTCTTGCACTACATGGTTGAAGAATTGCCAAGATCTTGTTTTATTTCCAGATTTTAACATAAAGTAAGCCAAATTTATTATTTTTACAGTTGATATCTTTGGAGTATATACTTTGGAGTATAATAAGTATAATAATATTCAAGCCAGGTGTGGTAGCAAATGCCTACAGGCCCAGCATTTGCTAGACTGAGGCAAGAGGTTAATTTGGGCTGGTCTCAAAAACAGAAGGACTAAGCAAACCAATAACAATGACGAAATCCTTTCATGTGTTGCTAATTTTTGGGTATGTTCTTTGACATAGGATAGAAGCTCTGAATCAGTGTACTAGTCCTGTGTCCAGTGCTTTTTCATGAGAAGCAACTTCTTCAAAAAGTGGATTTTTGTTTCTGTTTTTTTTCCCTTTTTGCTCTTAGTGTTCTATTTCGGTGAAGAGACACCATGAACAAGGTCACTGTCATAAAAGAAAGCATTTAGACAGGCAGTGGTGGCACATGTGCTTAATCCTGTCACTCAAGAAGCAGTCATCACTAAGACTGGCCACCTGAGTTCAGTCCTCAGGACCTGCTTGGTGGAAGGAGAGAACCAATTCCTGAAATTTGTTCTTTGCCCTCAACATGTGCATATGTATTGTCTTTGTGGGAGTGCGCACACAAGCGCGCACACAAGCGCGCACACAAGCGCGAGCACACACACACACACACACACACACACACACACACACACAC